TGCATTTTGATTAACTGGAAGCTTTATTTCACAGAACTAAAATCTGAAAGCCATCTTCTTACAGGCCCATAACCCTCTCTGCACCAAAACATATCTAGAATAATGACATTGTACCTTGGATGTGAAAATTACACATACAGGTACTGTCCTGGCTTCAAATTATTTATTTCAGGATTAACGATTATCCTCACATAAAAAATACAAAATGGAAAGAAACTCTACTGGTGACTCAAACAGTTAAAACTGTTTTTACTTCCTTTGGAAACCCACAGCCTCAGATAAATTTGTTGTCCAATGGCACCATCTGGTGGATGAAAGTATTTAAGCTACCCCATTGTGGGGGAAAATGAAAAAATGTCATCTGTAAGACTAAATGCTATTAAGGCTAAAATCTTAGTATGAAGATTCCCATGCTTCAGTCAACAGATTTCTTATGAATGGGATCTTGACAAAATTCTAATACAAAAGAAATCTAGGACTCATAAAAACTCATTATCAAAGAATTCAGTTCACCTTCTTGAAGAAATGTTGCTTAATCATAAAGCAAATATTTTTAAACTGAGAGGAACCTCAGACAGCTATTAATTCAATCCCTTCTCTTTAAAGATGAAGATTCTAAGGCAAAGACAGAGCTCCCCCAAAAGTCACAGCTAGGGATAATGGGCATTGATTATATAAGTAAATGGGTCAAATATTCTGTGCTGTTTGCTATAGGCTTCTATTTCAAGACACTGTAGAGGAAAGGCAGGAAATTAGGCAGTCAGTGTCTGTGGCAAAGTGCCATTCTCAGGGAAGCAATGACCTAGCCGCCCCATTGTGTGGGCCACCCCCACGCTGACCCATGCAAGATGAGGAATGGTCATACTGTCCCTGCCTCCACAGCCCGCCTACATCCCTCTTCACATTAGATTTATCTGCTTTCTCCTGCCCAAGAAAACCATCCTACCAATAAAAGTAAGACATATAAAATAAATGTTAAATCACCCATTGAAGAACATCTATCATTCTGGGAAAGCATTCACGATATGTTAAAATGGGAGAGGGGAAAGATAAGACCAGACTATGTTCACTATGATACCACATCTGTTTTAAAAAATTAAATTATCAAGCATTAAATCAAGAAAAAATATTGGGGGGAAAATATACTAAATTTTTTTGACATCTGTTGTCTCTGAATGCCAGGATTATGAGTGATTTAAGTTTTCTCTTATATAATACCAATATTTTAATATTTAACATTTATATTAACAAAAAGGTCATTTTTTTACTTTAAAAATTTATAATCACAGACTACAAATGGAAATTGGATATAGGAGCCCATACACACACCCAACCAACCATGCAATACATGCATACAAAAAAATTTTTTTCAGAGTATATTATACTTTTGTCTTAAGGTTTGCCAGAGTATTTTTCAAGTTGTTTTGAATTTTCTATCAAGTATCTATTAATAAATACCTGGATGACAAAAGAAATAGACTAGCAAACTATATTAAAGGGAAATCTTGGAAATATAATTTAAATTATTTTGTATATTTTCAGAGACAGGGACTTCATATCCTAAGTCCAGTTTCTGCTTATAAAATTTTGCCTGAGTTATATATCAGAATATATGGCATGATGCTCCCCAAAGAATTACCTGGCTGACAGTTTAAAACCCTGTCTCCTAATGAATTAGGTCTTTGAGGCACATATCAAAGATGCAGTTACTTGAAGGTCAGTAAACAAGAATCGAACACTGTTGCCTTGCCTCAAGATCCTTCCATCATCTATACAGACTGAGCTCAGAGAATGAATCTTTTGCTGAATATCTTAAGGTAGCATTTTTCAAAGTGTTGTCTGGAGCCCACTGGGAGACACCCAGATTCCATCAAAGGGTCTGTGGCATCAAAACTGTTTTCATAATTATACCAAAACAGTATTTCCTTTTTCACTCTCAATTTACAGGAGTGTGAGGTGGAGTTTTCCAGAGGCTAAATGACATCACAACAGAGTAAATCCAGAAGTAGATACAAGAATCCAGAGGTCTTCTATTAAACTACACAGTAGAAATTTTTTTAATGTTAAATAATGCCATTCCTCTCACTAAATTTTTTTTCTTTAGGAAAATATAGTCATTTTGTATAAAAATGTATATGTTATTATATAATGGATTACTTTTAATGAATTAATATGAACACTTTTTTAAACATTCTCAGCTTTAATTTCTAAAACAATAAACAAGGATGAATATAACTTACATAAACAAAAGCTATTTGAGGTCCACAATAAATTATTAAAAGAATAAAGGGGTCCTGAGACCAAAAAGTTTGAGAGCCACAAATCAATAAACGACAAGTGCTGATGAGGATGTGGAGAAAAAGTAACCCTCTTGCACTGCTGGTGGGAATGCAGACTGGTGCAGCCACTGTGGAAAACAGTATGGCGTTTCCTCAAAAAACTAAAAATGGAACTCCCATTTGACCCAGTAATCCCACTTCTAAGAATATATCCTAAGAAAACAGAAACACCAATCAGAAAGAATATATGCACCCCTACGTTCATAGCAGCACAATTTACAATAGCTAAGATTTGGAAACAGCCTAAGTAAACATCATCGGATGAGTGGATTAGAAAACTGTGGTACATCTACACAATGGAATACTACGCTGCTGTAAAAAAAGAAGGAATTCTTACCATTTGCAACAGCATGGATGGAACTGGAGAGCATTATGCTAAATGAAATAAGCCAGTCAGAGAAATATAAATATCACATGATCTCACTCATTTGTGGAATATAATGAACATAAACTGATGAACAAAAATAGAACCAGAGTCATAGAAGCATCAAACAGACTGTACAACCTATGAGGGAAGGCGGGAGGGTGAAGGGGTAAGAGAACAACCAAAGGACTTGTACACATGCATAGGAGCTTAACCAATGGACAGACGGGAGGAGGCAGGCATGTGTTGAGGGTTGGGGGTGGCCGGGGAGAGGTCAACGAGGGAAAAAGGAGACTTATGTAATACGTTAAACAATAAAGAATTTAAATTAAAAAAAAAAAAAGTTTGAGAGCCATGGTCTCAGAGTACTTGGCATTGAGAAAAACACCAACCAAAAGGTCACTCTACTCCTCCCTCTTCCTCCTCTTCAAAGCACTTTCCAAGCCTCTTGCTATGACCAGGCCATCTTGCAGACCATTATCTGAACACACTTTTAAAAAATGTTTTTATTGATTTTTAGATAGAGAGGAAAGGAGAGGGGGGTAGAGAGAGAGAGACACATCAATCAGCTGCTTCCCACATGCACCCTGACCAGCAACTTTTCAGTGCACAGAATGACACTCAACCAACTGAGCCACACCAGCCAGGGCTGATCACACTTTTTAAAGAATGATTCTGATCCTATCTTATTTCCCTACTAAATAATTTCAAACAGTACTTCAAGAGGTACAGAATAATCTAGGTAAAGGGTATTCAGGTGTTCACCGCATTACTCAACTTTTTGCTAGACGAGAAGTTTTTCAATGGAAGAGGGACAAAAGGTTACAAAAAAAGAAAGAATTCTTAAATACAGAAGTTACAAACTTCAGTTGGAGGAAAAAAGGATTGGATTATTATAGTGGATTATGTGTTCCTGGAAAATAACTAGAAAGACCGTAATAATAGGCACTTTTTAAAAAATTCTTACAATTTGAGGAAAAATTATTAAGGGAAAACTTCTGGAAAAATGAATACATATTAAAATACTGCTTTTTGCCTTAATGTGGTATTATGAATATTTCCTGTTTTCCAAATATTTTATCATGAGTTTTATTTTTTTTAAATTTGACGCAATTTAAAGATTAGCCAGATAGTCACATACTATATTATTGTTGAATAACCAGGTATTTTGTTCAATTAGCTGGCTTCAGTTTGAAAATACCAGCTGCAGAAATCCTGTTGATGTGTCTACTTCCTCTTGTCCTGTTAGGAATTATGAATCACACAAAGCACAACAAATGACTACTCAACCACCTAAAGTGGACACAGAAGTAGCAAGGGGACATTACCCTTTACAAAGCCTATTATCCTATATAATAAAGAGGTAATATGTAAATTGACCCTCATGCCATAACATCATCACAAGATGGCGGTGCGCACAGCAGGGGCAGGGCCGGTGGCCACTCC